ATGTGTTACATGCTCTGACATCAAAAGGCAGATCACAGGACGCACACATCTGTCAAACAAAGACATACACGAGGCAAGGATGAGTTTTGCATGAATCACTAAAAGGTCCCCAATGATAGTGATTACCATGTGTGACCATGTTAGGGCCCATGGTAGTCCTTCAGCCTTCTGCCGTTTATGAATAGAGACACACTACTGCCCTCAGGGATGACATCATCAGCACTGGTCCCATTAGCGGTCAGTGAAAAGCCCTGTTTGCTAGTCAAAGGTCAAGCTGAGGGTTCCTGTGTCGGGTACAAGGTGAACATGAGGAAGGCGGGCTCGCGGTCTGGAAGGACAGAAGCCAGGATTTACTGGAGCTGAGTGGGGGCGCTACCTGCTGAGTGAGTTACTATGTTAATTGAGTGTCATCATCAATGGGCCCTCTCTGCTGAGCCGGGAGGCAGGACTAGAATGAGCCAGCGGTGGCCTCTGAAAGCCAGAGCAGGTCGGATTAGAGCAGCTTTTTGTGCGCGCTGCATAATGTCTGCGGCCGGCTTTAAAGACCCCCTCCGCTCACCGCAGCCATGTTTCCTTGTCCATGTGCTTTCTTCTTCTGTGTGCTGTGTGTGATGGCTTAAAAGAGAAACTAGTGTAGCTGCCCTTCTCCTTCACAAGACGCCTGTCAGTGGGCATTAGCGTCGCCGCACCACCAATCATCATTCCATGCTCCGTGTTAATTGCACACACAGCTGGGTCTCGGCAGGACAGACTCTCACTCCCGGAGCACAGCAATAACAAGCACCACTCTCATGTAATTCTGATAAACAACATCAGTCCATCACTTTTATCCCGAGATCAAGTTCAAGCTGAAGATAATGCCGCTTCATTCAGGTCCAATCTGGAAGTTTACCCTTTTTGTGAAAAGAGGAATTAGGTTAGTTCTTGGCAGTAGATTCAGCGGTGGACTCTCCGAGCGGCTTATTATCATGATTTTATTTATTGTCGTTTGGTCAGTCACAGTCATTCCAGTTTAAAACAAGCACAATAACATAAATAAGTCTGCGATAATCAACCTTAGCTGCTAAATCCTGACAGCACTTAAACAACCATAACATAACGTACTAGTAATTAATCACACTAAACAAGATAGATAGAATTAATTTAACGTGCGTTCCCCAAACATGGATCACAATTTTCCCATTGTTTTGAGCACATTATAAACTCCCAAAGAAAATACTACTTGATTTTATATCTCACCCAGAAAACATATTGATGGTGACGCTCGGGTCAAGTGGAAAGTGACCTGGTCGTATTTAACGACTGTGTGCACGACCCACACACACACACACACACACACACACACACACACACACACACACACACACTGATCCAGGCAGGAACAGGCAGAGGAGCAGGTTGTAATTCCTGTGGGCCCCCCGTGGAGAGCCCCTTCCACTGCCCCCACATGCCTGCGTATAAACCATTAGCTTCAGGACACCACTGCACTCAGTCCTGTCTTTAAAAAGACCGAGAACATGGACAACACACACTCAGACTCACTTCTCCTTCGCTGGGGAAGCTGTAATCGTGAATAAAACACACAATTTTCAGACACCCTCAGGAGACTGCGTTTATTAGTAACAGTATTAGAAGTACATTATAGAGAATTCAACACACACTGTTTTCCCCGTGAAGCCTCTACATGCGCTGGATGTCTTGGTGTAGTAGTAACTGGTTTGTGTGGTTATGTGAGTACAAAATGCTCCCAACCTTTGTCTAATTTGGTTGAATGGATTTAACCCTGTAAGTGCCAGACTTTTTGTTTTGTTTTACTACATTTTAAGAGATAGAGGCTTCATGTAAAGTAGAGAAATGATAATAATGGGCTAAAGTGTATGTAGGAACTAATGAATACCCATTTAATTTAGCATATTGTGATTTGATATGGAGGTGGAGTTGCATTAAGCCTTTAAAGATGCAGTCAGTGATTTTTTCCAGACACATTTTTTATAATATTGTGGTGTGGTTTGGTGGAGAGGGAGGGGAGGGGGAGTGGTCTGGTGGAGAGGGAGGGGAGGGGGGAGTGGTTTCCAGTTGGTGCTACGGCTAAGCTAACAACATCACTTACTGCACCTTTCACTCATTGTGTCCCATTGACGCACAAATGCGTCAAATGCCTTTTTCGCTATTTTCACGTTCCCAGATGTCTATTGTATCTAATATGTATGGGGATGACTTGAGACCATATTTTATCGAGCCAGCAGGTGGCAGCATTTCTCTCTGAATGGTTTAAAAACAGTTAGGTGCACATGTTGTGCCTCTTTTTTCTCAACTTTCTGGTGATTTCAGTAAAACTTCCCTCTACTCGACGGAGGATTACAGGGGAACGCAAAATGCTATAAACAAAATTCTTTTTGCTGAGGAAAGTAGACAGTCCATTCTTTTAGAATCTGGTGTCGGATTTCAGATAGTCATAGTACACAATATTAAGTGTAAGTGTAAAAACCATGAATCCTCTCTGCTCTGGTCTGGACCAGTGTAAAACCATGAATCCTCTCTGCTCTGGTCTGGACCAGTGTAAAACCATGAATCCTCTCTCTCTGCTCTGGTTTAGACCAGTGTAAAACCATGAACACTGTTCTGCAGCAACATCTCAGGCAGAAAAAACAAGAAAATATCAAAGTACAAAACAGTTTCAGAGACACTCGGGACTCGCTGCTTTTTCCAGAACATTCTAAATTAAACAAAGCTTTAAAATAAAGTCGGTCTTTTTTACATGTGCATTTTTTCAGTTTTTAAATACATGTATTTGGTTTATATGTTGTATAATGTATTAGATGATTCATATAAGTTTGTAGAGTCGACTGGTTTCATGGTTGCTATGGTTACATGAGTTAACTGTTGACAGCTCTAGACAGATAAACACTTATCTCCTTTTCTCACAAAGTCTTTGTTGCACGTCCTTCCTCTTTGTGCATGACGCTGACTTTGAGACTGGTCCTCAGCATCAGTGTATGAAGTTCACTCACTGGTCACAAGGTGGTGCTGTTTTCCACAAATTATTGCTCTAAACACGAGAGACCTTGTCTTTACAGGACATGATCCAAACACTGTTTTATCTGTTTATCTTATCTTGTCTTCCAAACTTGTCTTCCAAACGCACAAACGTGGCCATGTGCCTCTGCAGTGCTCAGATGCTCCGTTGGTTCTCTCCTGTGCGCGTGCGCGTGCAGCAGACGCTCGCGTTGATCAGTGTGTGCGCGCGGTTAATTGTCTGTTAATAGAAAGCGCGCCATTGGGGAGCACGAAGCGCGCTCCTGCTGAATGTGTGCAGGGATAATATTGTTCCAGGAGCCGTGCACGGAATACTGCGGGCCCCATTAGCGCGGGCCCCGTGGATGAGCGGCCCGAGCAGCAGCCTCACGGGGCCCGTTAGCTCTTTAATGCAATTCTGTGTCAAGTGCCCTCTCTTCATCATTTGCACCATTACCACACTCCAGAGTAAATGTTAGATTATTAAGATCGTGTCTGTCAATAAATATGGAGCCGCTCTGAGCTGAGAGCAGCAGAGGAGGTCTTTCAACAAATACATTTATAGATATAGTTTACAACATGGCATGTATTTACCAAAAAATAGACTTTTTATCCCCTTGAAGAACCAAACGGATCTTACAAGTTAAACATATTCAATTACTTAAAAGTGTTATTACAGTATCTTCTATCCGGACTGCTCTAACGCGGACTGCGGCCCAACAGAATACACACGTTTCATCCAGAAATAGAATTGGTTTGTTCAGTGCGCAGTAATTATAGAAACCTCATTTAATTACCAAGAAATGTTTTAATTCAAAAAGAAAAAAAAAAGGAAAAGTCTGAATTCTTTGTCTCATATTTTTATTACATCTTCAAAAAAACTGCAAAGGGTTTGTCTCCCACATTCATGTTTAATATAATTTAATCATTCACATTTACCTTTTGAGATATACACTGTGGCAACGCTTCCAAAAAGCTTTTAAATAACATTTATTTTATTTGTACAAGTCGTCTCTCGTTTTCATTTTTAAAGGCAACATCTCTCTCCGTCTGTCGCATTATGAAAAAATAAGCCTCCCTTCGTCTCCGGGCGCAGAGAAAGTAGAACGCGGAGGTTGAAAATACCTGGTGTAGGAGCCATTCAGGGTTTTAGTGTGTGTGTATGTGTGTGTGTGTGTGTGTACGTATGTGTGTGTGTGTGTGTGTGTATGTGCATGTGTGTGTGTGTGTGTGAGTGTGTGTGTACGTATGTGTGCGTGTGTGTCTCATGACAGTGGGGTGAGCTTGGGAAGGGTCTTTCTGTTGCCCGCATATTTTCCATCATAGACATATCCGCACGGTCTTATTGAGGAATCTTCATCATCCTCATCATCATCTTCATCATCCTCATCATCATCACATAGTAACGATCCCAGTAAGTGCCAGATCCATTTCTACTCTCCGCAATAAACTCCATAAAACTGTGCAATTGCTCCGTCTGCGCAGTTTCGACCCCTTGCTTAGCCCGCCGTGGCGTCATGGATTAGGTCTTGCCGCCCCCCCCATACGCCACTACATCTGGTCCCTCACAAAAAGACCTTACACCAGGGGTCTCCAACCTTTTTCAATCAGAGAGCTACTTTTAAACAACAGAAGAGGCAGAGAGCTACTCCTTTTTGCGGTCAAAATAAAAATATATGTAATAATTGTGATGAAACATATGTAAAAAATACTATAATACTGTGTAGCCCTGTATTTATCCTTATAACAGACATGTAATGAATCATTTAAGATCGTGTGTTAAATTCTGAATCCTTTGGGGAGCTTCCTGAACGGGGCTGGCGAGCTACTAGTTTGGAAACCCCTGCATTAGAATAAGAGCTGTTTTTGCATGGAGACGAGAGAGTCATGGCACAGTCCGTTCTGCCTCCCCCATGTGTGCACAGGGATGGGGGGGTGGTGCAGGTGGTGGTGCAGGTGGTGGTGCAGGTGGGGTTAGGTGGGGCTCAGCTAGGCAGGTCGCGCGCTGCTTCCGAGGCTGTGTAGTTGTTGTCGTGCAGTTTGCGGATGTGTTTCTTGAGGTCGAAGTTGCGGCAGAAGCCCTTGCCGCAGGTGGAGCAGGTGAAGGGCTTCTTGTCGTTGTGCGTGTGCATGTGGAAGGTCAGGTTGTAGATCTGATGGAAGGCCTTGTTGCAGATCGAGCACTTGTACTGCTTCTCTCCGCTGTGGGTGAGCTTGTGGTTCTTGTAGTTCCCTGTCGGACCAGAGCAGACCCAGTCAGGACAATCAAGTGCTATTATCTGTGTGTTTTAAACGGTAAATTCTGCACATATTCACAGATATATGTATATTCCTGAGTATAACCAGATTATTCTATTGTCACTATAGTATTTTATTATTATTATTATTTTAAGGTTGTTACTTTATTGTTATTTCCATTGTTATTTTTATATCAAATTCAAAATTGTGTCGTCACAGTGTATAGTGTTATTTGATGCTAGAATTAGAGATTTACGAGTTGTTCACTTGTTGTGCTGTGCTGCTCTTTCCTACTGTTCTATAACTTCGGATGCAACACTGAAATTTCCCTACTGCGGTACGGATAAAGGATTTGTTAATCTTAATCTTAATCTTACAGTTTTAGCCTGGTCGTACCACACCATAGTACAGATTACAGATGATAATGGACCAGAGTGTACGGGGCCAGGCTACAGCAGCTGACAAAGTATTCCACAATAAAAAATACATCAAAGTAACAATCTGAAGATAAGAAAATAATTATATAACTTAGTGAGAATAGATCTGGATATACTCGGATAATTTACATATCTGTGAATATGTGCAAATTTACAGTTTAAAATGCAGATAATATATAATGTACACAGAAGCAAATTATTTCTATTTGGGTTATATTTATGTTATATATGTTATACACACACACACACACACACACACACACACACACACACACACACTCACACAACATCTGTACATATCCATCACTTAATAATTAAATTGTAAATGTAAGCGTTTTTTAACCAACTAATTTTCAGACGTACTTTTTCAACTCTTAAAGGTTTTTGGAAATGATGCTGAATGATCTGTTTTAGTTCCTCTGAGGACCGCACTGAATTAGCAAACTTATGATTTTGTTTTGGGAGAAAATTGGCTGAAAAAATATGTTTTTGATACATTATTGTGTGTGATTTTTACTTGCAATAAACAGACTCAAAATGTTTCTTGAAGAATTTAATCAATATTTATTTTATTTGACTGATTTGAGACACTAATAAACTCATAGATTTGATCATTTTCATAGTTTTTATTTATACATTCTCTGATCCAGTGGTGGCTAATTTCATTATTTTCTAAATCATAATCATTTTAGAAGTAGTTTATTTTGTAGTGTATTATTGTATATCTTATTATGTACATTAGATCTTAGGTCACGTGTTTTTAAAGAAACACACTTAACCATAAAAAAACAAAAATATATATTGTGACTATTAAGAATTGTAGTGCTAAATAACGCCAAAATAAGAGTAATCAACCATTATTATTATTAATATTATTATTATTATTAACCTACATTCTGATGGTTAGTGTTGCTCACTTGACTTTATATAAATATCTGCCGACTTGAAATGGCTGCACAGCGACATTTCAGAGCCTGATATTTGTTAATCAGAGCTTTTCTGAGAGAGTCAAGAAGTTGTCAAACTCTGTCAGAATCAAACTCCACAAAAGGCCGAGTCCGGGCGGGGTCTGGAGCTGACCCAGAGCAGAGTCCCGCAGCGCGATCAGTCCAGACCTGACGCGTCCTGTTTCCACTGCGCGCGTCATCACCGAGGCCAGAGATTCCATCACATCTGAGCCGCGCCTGTCTCTATTTGTGCTTTCTCTTTCCATCCTCGAGTAACGCAGGTCCACGTTACAATTATTATTGGCATAATTAAATACATTTTAAATATGAATAGACTATATGCGGGAAAAAAACAGTGCCTTGGAAACAGATCGGAAACGCTCATGATTTTATCTTTAGTTTTGTGAAAAGTCATATTTTGAATATCATTTTTTTCGCTAATTAACTTTTTAAATGTTGTAACTATCCACACAGAGTTGAACACAGAGTCGAACACAAAGTCATGATGGACAGATGGACGGTACCTTTTTGGTGGAAGCCTTTGCCGCAGAATTCACAGATGAAAGGTTTGTATCCCGCGTGGATGCGCACGTGCGTGTTGAGTGTGGAGCTTCTGTTGAAGGCCTTCCCGCACTGGTTACACTTGTGCGGCTTCTCCTGAGGACGCAGGGACAGGAGAGCGTTAGGACGGTACGGGGAGAGGGTTAGGACGGTACGGGGAGAGCGGCGTCTGCTGCTCACTCACCTGCGTGTGGATGATCTTGTGGCGGCACAGAGTACTGGCCTGACGGAAGCCCTTCCCGCACACTTTACACACGAAAGGCCGCGCTCCGGTGTGCACGGGCATGTGTCGGGTCAGGTTGTAGTGCGCGTTGAAAACCTGCAGAAAGACAAGGGTTAACTCACAGCAAAAGGATACGGGTTAACACACACACACTCACACCAGGGATACGGGTTAACACACACACACTCACACCAGGGATACGGGTTAACACACACACACTCACACCAGGGATACGGGTTAACACACACACACTCACACCAGGGATACGGGTTAACACACACACACTCACACCAGGGATACGGGTTAACACACACACTCACACGGGATACGGGTTAACACACACTCACACAGGGATACGGTTAACACACACACCCACCAGGGATACGGGTTAACACACACACACACTCACACCAGGGATACGGGTTAACACACACACACTCACACCAGGGATACGGGTTAACGCACACACACTCACACCAGGGATACGGGTTAACACACACACACTCACACCAGGGATACGGGTTAACACACACACACTCACACCAGGGATACGGGTTAACACACACACACTCACACCAGGGATACGGGTTAACACACACACACTCACACCAGGGATACGGGTTAACACACATCTGGCGGAGGCCGTACGCAGCACGTGCCAGCGCGTTTCGTTAAAAGACACCCCTGAGCCTGGTCTGTTATAGACCATGTACACAGGTCTGTTATAGACCATGTAGGTCTGTTATAGACCATGTACCCAGGTCTGTTATAGACCATGTAGGTCAGTTATCGACCATGTAGGTCTGTAGGTCTATAATATCCCCATGTCAGTACCTTGCCACAAACTTCACAAGTAAAGTTCTTGGGTTTCCCGTCGGCGCTGCTGCTGCCGCTGACTTTGTTGTGCGTCTTGCTTGTGTTCTTGTCCGCGCTCAGACTGTGGTCCTTGACGATCTGGTCCAACTGTCCGGGGAGGTGCTCTTTGTGCGGATACTGTGGTGTTGGCACTTTCTCTGAGGAAAGTTTGTCTCGCAGCAGCAGCCTTTGGTGCGCGGCCAAAGAGGCCTGAGACCAGGGCCCGGAGAAGAGCTCGTGCTGCGGGTACGCCGCCTCCAGGTAGTTGACGTAGTACAAAGACCCGGGCACGGCCACGGCCTGGTGCAGCACCTGCGGCTTGACCACGCGGCTGGACGTCAGCAGCGGCTGCTTCAGAGAGTCCGGTTTGACGCAGGCGCTACAGTTGGTCTTCCCGCAGAGCGCGCCTCTGACGCTCGCCCTCCACAGATCAGAGTAGTTCATGAGGCAGGAGTGCAACTCGTAGCCCAGCGGAGGCAACGGGATCATGCACGGGACGGGGGCACACAAACCCAGCAGTGGACGCGCGTCTTCCGTAGGCCGTGGCTCGGCGCTTTTGGACATAATCCGGTCTATAGAGAAGGCCAGGCTCTTGGGGGCCCCAGCGCCTGCAGTCCGGGCACATGACAGCACTGAGTCCATGGAGCCCAAAGAGGCCATGAGTCCAGAGAAGTCAGGAGCTGAAGAGAGCGACACCTGCTCTGACCTCACAGAGCAGAACCACACATCACCCTCTCGCTCCGGAGTCCAGCGGCTGCGGCCTCAGCTGAAGGGGCCCTGGGCCGGTGTGGTCTGTGTAGTCCGTGGGGTCTGGAGTCCGTGGAGACCGTGGTGTCCGTGGAGCTGGATCAGGTGTGCACCGGTCTGAGACAGAGGCGCTGACAGTGATTGAGAGTCGGACAATGAAGAGAAAGTCTTGGCGCAGCACTGGACTCGCTTAATGTAGGCACCGTCACGGCACAGCCCCGCCCCCGCCGGGCCACGGCTCCAGTGCCCGCCCCTGTGCCCGGGCTGACAGCAGCACTTCACTTTTTGGAAATGACTGCTTTTTAGCCGCTTTCTGTTTAACATAATAGATCCTTTATTTGTCCCACGGTGGGGAAAACATTTATTATTTCAGACTAGAAATGTGTTGTCGGTGTTATGTTTTATTTTTGCAACAGTCAAAAGAGTCTGTGGTCTGTGGTCTTGGTCTTATGGGTCTGGGGTCTGCAGGAGCTGGTGCTGTCCACCTGTCCGCAGTTGGAGTGTTGTTTGTCCGGTTAAATGCAGTCGCCCTCTCTCTCAGTGAAGCAGGAGCGGGCAGGCTTTTCACTGCAGTCTGTAAAGCTCGGCATGAAGCGGCTCTACTGTTTTCTGAGGACTGCGGAGTGCGGATTACACAGTCCGGACTAATGAAAGAAAGAGTTTTGCTCTAAAGAGGCGCACAAGGAGTCCACAGGAATCCGCTGCACAGAACGGGGGAGAGCGGGGGACAAAGCTCTTCATGTTCTGCATTTACAGCCATTTCACTGAACACGGCCAACGACAACACTCTCTTTTCACGCATTTGAGCTCTTTTCTCAATCCACAATGACCACAGCCACTATAGTCAAATGTACTGGATAAGCCTGATTTAGGCCTGAATTAAATAAAGCTCATGTCCAACCATATTTAGCCAGTGTTTAACACGTCTATCATTAAAACAGTTTCATGGAAAAGAGAACTCATCAAACACAAGTCTCTCTAAATATCTTTAAAAAATCTTTACATCAAGTGATCCAATAGTTTACTCTTAGAAATACTCAAGAAATGATATCTCCAAACAGCATTTTGGCCACAGCCCTGTAGCAACAAGTGTTAAGTCAAAACAGTAACACCTAAAATCTGTAAATTTGATTGTGTTTTGTAAAAGATATAAGTTTAGTGCTTCACGTGTTGATGCCGTTATTTATCAGGCTAGAACTGACCAATCAGAACAAACATCACTTTTGGTCAAATGAATTACTTTTTTCTCTGTAACTGCATAAACAAGTCTATAATGTCATCTATTTGACAACAACAAAAATAAACATGAATGAGAATGCATTTGTCAGACCTGCTCTGGGCCTGCTCCTCGGACAGTTCACTCTGAGGCCTACACAGACTCAGATTATTAACCCCAGCATGGTGCTGCCCCAGAACATAGTTTTCCTGTTAATAACCCTAAAAAACATCCCAGCTCTGTTTTGTTTCCACCTGTGGCTCTGCATGGAGGGATTAACTGTTGTCCCAGCACCACTCTTATGTTAATGGCTGAATAAAGCCCCATTGGAGTGATTCAGACACGACTAAAGACCGTCCCACAATAAACATTGATCCTATTGCAGCGGATTCCTCATTTAGCTCAGACTGCAATTAGCTCCAGAGCGATTAGAGGCCGCGGCCCGAGGGCAGAGATCCAGCATCACTTCATCAATTCATCATTTCATCTTCACTTTCATAAAAAAAACATGTCCTGGAAACAGCAGCGAGTCCTAAGTGTCTCTAGAACTGTTTCTTTCTTTTTTCTGCCTGAGATGTTGCTGCAGTTCAGTGTTGATGGTTTTACACTGGTCCAGACCAGAGCAGAGAGGATTTATGGTCCAAACCAAGTGGATCAGGTGAAAATCCTCTAGAGGAATGCTTCATGAAAAATGCTAATGAAGCATTTATCATTTTACTTTGGACCAGAGCAGAGAAAATGGTCTGAACCAAGCTCCACCTCTGCTGCTGTGACCTGAAGGACTTATTATTACTATTGTTTGCTTTTTAGAATGATCAATTATTTATTTATTATTTTTGCTGTTACTGGACACACATCTATCTATCTCTCTGTTATTGCCAGAAAGATAGTTTGTTCAGCACGTCTGTGTCAGCTGCAGTCACAGCCAAATATATAGATTATTATATAGAACATTGTTTTACACAGCTGCAAAAACCACGACATCTTCCACACTTTGGCCCTGTGCGCTTACTGTGTGCTTTCTTGAAAATTACCTGAAAACTTGAACTGATTTGGAAAACTAGTGAAGACAATGAGGTCTGGGATTGTGTCACAACAGAAGACGTTTTATTATTGGTGTTATAACAAGGACTTCAAGGTCAGTGCATTTGTTAGACTCAACAAATGCAGCGTTCAGACTTAAAGGAGCAGTGTGTAAACATGTGGCCAAAGGTGGTACTGCAGCCTCTCCCACTCTCCCTGACTCAGGTTGCCAGATATGCAGACGAATCCAGCTGGGACCATAACAGCTGAATAGACAAGAGTTTTGTCAACAACAAATCTATAACCAACACCTTTTTCACAAAGATAGAAATCCTGGTTTTATTCCTTGTTTTGTCGTTAATGATTTGAGAATCATAACGAGACCTTTTTTAGTTCTGTGCCACATGGTACTTTACCAGTGAGATTAGCTCCACGCGGTGAGTTCTGGCGCCCAGATCACAGACTTTCTGATTGGTTAAACGGTGGAGGGCGGGACATCGAAATGAAAACAAAAACAAGATTTAGAGGCTGGAAAAGTAATTTAGAAATTCAAATATCTCTGAACTACTGTTATCAGTTAAAGAAGTATTGGAAAAAAGCAGTTTATTAGATTAGGGCCCTTTAATGATGACAGATTAGGGCCCTTTAATGATGACAGATTAGGGCACTTTAATAATGACAGATTAGGGCCCTTTACATATTTCTGCTTTAACTATATTTTCTTCAGATGTTTAAGCGACCCACACAGGAGCACTCGGCAGGATGACTATCTTTGATAAAACCACACGGTCTTTAAATGAAACGTGTGAAAAATCCCGGTTTCACCAAATGAAGCCGTGTTTGGTTTCACCCAGAACGTGCCATCTCCTCAGGGCGCCCCCGGTGGAGAGAGTGTGGTGGCGCCTGCGAGGTGTCAGGCCCCTGTGCGTCCTGCTGAAGAACATGATGTTATTAAGAGGAAGTCACAGACAGGGTCCTGACACCTCCAGGCCCCGCCCCCTGGCCCCGCCCCCCAGGCCCTGCCTCCACGCCCCGATAACCCTGAGGAGACGAGGCGCCGCGTTGCCAGATCCACGGCGGATTGCACCTCAACATTTAACCGCCAATCTCACACTTGTCTTGTGAAGAACTCGCCTCTTCTCTGGGCCTGGAAATGTGCACGCCCGTCATCTGCATTTCAGACGCTACATTATCATTCGTCGTTTTTGCACTTCTTGGCAATAAATCTTTCAAAATGGTCGCCGTGGAGATCTTTCTGAACTGAACAGATTCATGTAAAAAAGATGAAGAAAATGACAATGTTCTGGGAAATGTTTTACTTGTGTCTTTGATTTTAGACGCTTTGGTTTTATTTAAATTAGTTTAGATGCACAGGAGGGCTGGCCCACGTCGTCCGTTTGGGCCGAGCCCGGCCGGGCCCCGTGGGCTAAGGCCCGGACACCAGATGCTCGCATTCGAGCCCCAACCCCAGGCCTGGCTCCAGGGTGGGGCCCCGGCTGCGCCATGCCGGCGACGTCACTTTAGAGGTTATAGTTGTACTTTAGAGTTATAGAGTTGTACTTTAGAGTTTAGAGTTTAGAGATGCACTTTAGAGTTCAGAGTTGTACTTTAGAGTTTAGAGATGCACTTTAGAGTTTAGAGTTGCACTTTAGAGTTTAGAGTTGTACTTAAGAGTTTAGAGTTGTACTTTAGAGTTTAGAGTTGCACTTTAGAGTTTAGAGTTGTACTGACTTTACATGTTTTCCTCAGACAGACGTGACAGATCAGAGAGAATTATGTCCTGTGTATTTTCCTGTGTCATAAATCACAGTTTGGTCCTTCTTTGGACGTCTGTAATCTCCCACACGTGAACACGTGAACACATGAACACATGAACACATGAACACGTGAACACATGAACACATGAACATGTGAACACGTGAACATGTGAACACATGAACACGTTAGCACGTGAACACATGAACATGTGAACACGTGAATTCATGAACACATGAACACGTAAACACATGAACATGTGAACACATGAACACATGAACACATGAACACATAAACATGTGAACACGTGAACACGTGAACACATAAACACATGAACACGTGAACACATGAACACGTGAACACATAAACACGTGAACACATGAACATGTGAACACATGAACATGTGAACACGTGAGCATGTGAACACGTGAACACGATGTTAGAACAAAAGCAAAGCCCCTGATGTCCTCAGGAAAGAAAAGGATTTAAAAAAAAACATTATTTAGTAAAAAATGTAGATTCTGCAGAAGGTTTTGGTGAAGAACGAGGCCTTTTTGCTTCAGATTGACTCAAAACTGACACAAAACTCGAGCTCAAGAGAAAAACACTGAAGAATGTGTGGAAAAGGTTCATATTGTCTGGGCATTAAAGTGACTTGTTGTACAGTCTGACAGCAGGTGGGAATGAGTAGGTTTAGTGTAGAACGGAAGAAAGGTTTTATCAGACACACACACACCTTCGAGCGCATACCTACACACACTAGAACACACACGCATGCCCTTTACACACACACACCCACACACACACACACACACACACACACACAAAGACACACACACCTTACTCCTGTCACTTCTGCGCAGAACCAAAGACACTTCAAAGCAACAGACTGAATCAGCAGAACGCCACCGTCGGTCTCTGCTCAACTTCAGACAAAATACTATTCATTATTTTGACTTTTCTTCGCCACAGTCGTGTTGTGTGGTCAAGTCGGTGAATTCTACGGTTGTGTGAAGTCCTCCAAGATTACTGCTGTTGTGATTTACGGCTAATGTAGTTCAAAAACGGGTCTTTCTATTGTGTTAAAATACAAAAGATGAATTTCTGAATAGTCACATTTGTCTAATGTGGACCTCTTCTGTTCAATCTCTACATGCTGCCGTTAGGTCAGTTAATACGCAGAAACGAAGTTTCCTATCATAACTATGCAGACGACACTCAGATCTATGTCTCACTGACTGCAGGAGAACATGGACCAGTGGACTCACTCCTTCACTGTATCCAACAGATCAGTGAGTGGATGCAAAACAACTTCCTTCAGCTAAACGCAGACAAAACTGAAATGATTGTCTTTGGTCCCCAGAAACAAAGAGAGAGCGTCATCTGTCACCTACAGTCTCTCTCCCTAAAACCTTCAAACAAGGTCAGAAATCTAGGGGTAATACTGGACTCAGACTTAAATTTTAATAGCCACATCAAATCAGTAACATCAGCAGCTTTTTACCATCTAAAAAACATTTCCAGGATCAAAAACATAGTGTCTAAAGCAGACTTGGAGATTCTTATCCATGCATTTGTCTCCAGTAGGTTAGACTACTGCAATGGCCTGCTCACAGGTCTGTCCAAACAGGCTGTAAAACAGCTGCAGTACATTCAAAATGCAGCAGCCTGAGTCCTGACTAGAACCAGGAAGTACGACCACATTAGTCCTGACTAGAACCAGGAAGTACGACCGCATTAGTCCTGACTAGAACCAGGAAGTACGACCACATTAGTCCGGTCCTCAGGTCCCTGCACTGGCTTCCTGTGGCTCAGAGAATAGACTTTAAAACAGCTCTGCTTGTTACAAGTCTCTCCATGGCCTCGCACCAAAATATATTAGTGACATGTTAGTCCCATATGAACCAGCCCGGACTCTGAGGAGCACAGGGACTGGACTCCTGCTGGGACTCTGAGGAGCACAGGGACTGGACTCCTGCTGGGACTCTGAGGAGCACAGGGACTGGACTCCTGCTGGGACTCTGAGGAGCACAGGGACTGGACTCCTGCTGGGACTCTGAGGAGCACAGGGACTGGACTCCTGCTGGGACTCTGAGGAGCACAGGGACTGGACTCCTGCTGGGACTCTGAGGAGCACAGGGACTGGACTCCTGCTGGGACTCTGAGGAGCACAGGGACTGGACTCCTGCTGGGACTCTGAGGAGCACAGGGACTGGACTCCTGTTAGTGCCCAGAGTCAGAACTAAACATGGGGAGGCTGCTTTTCAGATTCATGCTGCTAAAATCTGGAACAATCTTCCTGAAGATGTGAGACAGGCCTCCTCTCTGACAATGTTTAAAACCAGGTTAAAGACAGTTCTGTTTAACTGTGCTACAACTGAGGGATTTTATATTTTTATCTTTCTTTTTAATGCCATCCATCCATCCATCCATTTTCTACCCTTTTAATCCATTTCTGGGTCAGGGGGGTGGCAGTCAGAGATGCCACCCAAGTCTCATAGCACCAGCCCCTCACTGACCCTCTGCAGGTGGTGAGTCCACAGGAGGACGGCTGCTCTCTGAGTGTGAGCATAGCCTTGATCTTTCAGTGGGGGCTTTTTGGGCAAAGTGGGGTTAAGTGTCTTGCCCAAGGACACAACGACAGCAGTCATCAGTGGGAGTCAGTGGAGAAGGTGCAGAGGTGGGAATTGAACCCACGACCTTCTGGGCTTAAGGCCAATGCTCTACCAACTGAGCTACTGTCTTTTTAATGTTCTGTGATAATTTATGATTTTAATGCTTTCTTGTTTTGTTCAGCACTTTGAGTTGCCTTGTATATGAATTGTGCTATATAAATAAACTTGCCTTGCCTTGCCTTGCCTTGCCTTGCCTAATATCCGTTTGATAGAAATTTGCTGGACACTTTTTGGTATTATTATTATTATCATTCTCATGTGTATTATTATTATTATTATTATTATTATTATTATTATGTATTATTATTATTATTATTATCATCATTTGTATTATTATTATTATTATCATTTTTATTATTATTTTATTTTTATTATTATTATCATTTTTATTATTAATTTCTATTTTTTCTGCTGGTCACATGTCTTCTTTAACAAACTCATGATTCCATAAAAGTATTGATAATTCCATCTTCTTTATGTTTCTATTCATTTTCATTTCCCTTCTCTTTGGCCCCTCCCCCATCTCTGCCTGTCACTCTTCCCCCTCAGGCCTCTCCGGTCCAGGCCGCTCCGTTCTCTTCCAAACCTGTCAGGTGTTTCAGGGGTCTCCGCTGGACACTCACAGCTCACCTTAAATACGAAGTGAAAGAACTCGGCCCAACAACAAAACTGAACATCTAACTGTCAAGGTGCATTCTGGGACGAGGAGTCACCCAGACCCGGGCTCACCACTCTGAGACAAGGTGCATGCTGCAAGAAGGTCCCGGGTTCGGATCCCGGTCGGAACAGGGCCTTCCTGAGTGGAGTTTGCATGTTCTCCCTGTGTCTGCATAGGTTTCCTCCGGGTGCTCCGGTTTCCCCTACCACTAAAAACATGCTCACTAGGTCAAATCCTCCAGCTCTGGTCCTGACCAAGCCGAGCATCAACATCTGGAGATGGGTTCCCGGGCGCTGTTACTACGGCGACCACTGCTCCTGACGTAAGCCGTAGTGGCATCAGGGTCAAATGCAGAGGATGAACTTCTCTACGGGGACAATAAAGTGCACATTTTAATTTTTACATTTTACATTTACGTACAAACATAGGATAAAGTTAAAATATACAAAACAGTTAAAAAAGACAATAAAATACTTAAAAAGAATTAAAAAGAAATGTGTATTGTTTTGAGCACGTTCTGACTGAGCCTTAAAACAAGATTTTCCAACAGGACAAAACAAAAAGATCTTTGGAATGAGAAAATAAAGCAACACTTCTTGAAATAAAATAATTGACTTTGTCCCATTGAACACAGTCAGAATGTGTCAGATTAAGATGAAAACCACTGGATTCAAGCAATTTCGACCTCATATTTTATCATTTTTTGCAGTGTATAGATATTTCCATTCAATTCAATGTATTCTTGTATCGCCCTAAGTCACTGCAGGAGTTTTCTCAGAGGACTTTACAAAACTGTTTAAATTCTCCAACACAGACTTGTATCAAAGGTATATATAAAAAAGAGAAAAATATGTACAAATAATATTAATAACAAAACTAATAATAACTGAAGAAGGTGTTTTCCCGTCCGTACGTCTGAGGATTATTGCACCTAGAGTCCCATGGTCGGATATCGCTGCTGGACTAGGGCACAATCTGGCCGCTCCGAGCATAAGTCCCTTCACAGAAAGTCAAATTAATCAGGGGCTTGTTGTCTGCGCAGGATCAGAAGGTTTTTGGTGTGTGCGAACGTAAGAGGCTTTGGCTGGTTTCATTAAAAGGATATGACATGTACCTGCCCTCTCAAATGGCAGGCAATTTAGAGCCGCACACACGCAGAGTACACACACACACACGCAGAGTACGCACACAGAGCACGCAGAGTACGCAAACAGACACACAGAGTACACACACACACACGCACAGACTACGCACACAGACAGGCAGAGTACGCACACAGAGCACGCAGAGTACGCACACAGAGCGCGCAGAGTACGCACACACACACAGAGTACGCACACAGAGTACGCACACACACACAGAGTACGCACACAGACACACAGAGTACGCACACAGACACGCAGAGTAAGCACACAGACACACAGAGTACGCACACAGAGTACGCACACAGACACACAGAGTACACACACAGAGTACGCACACACACACAGAGTACGCACACAGACACACAGAGTACGCACACAGACACGCAGAGTAAGCACACAGGCACACAGAGTACGCACACAGAGTACGCACACAGAGTACGCACACAGACACACAGAGTACACACACAGAGTACGCACACACACACAGAGTACGCACACACACACGGAGTACGCACACAGACACGCAGAGTACGCACACAGAGTACGCACACAGAGTACGCACACAGAGCACTCAGAATACGCACACAGAGTACGCACACAGAGTACGCACACACACACAGAGTACGCACTGCATATACTGAATATACTGTATATGGTCAGATCATGTAAAGTGCTAGTGCAGAGAAGTGCTCAAGCTCAGGAACACAGGGCACTTTCTTTACAGCAACATGGCTTCCCACAAACATGTTTCATACTTATTTTCTACTTTGTATTTCAGTTATTGATTAATTAAACCATGAAAGCAAATGTAGAATCTTAAAAATATTCAAAAATATTCAAAATTATACCAGAAGTGAGACAAACTTATTGTTTGGCAACTCACAAGTCTCAAGGGTCAAGACCTCAAGGCCCGGGTCAAGGCCCGGGTCAAGGCCCGGGTCAAGGCCTCAAGGCCCGGGTCAAGGCCCGAGTCAAGGCCTCAAGGCCCGGGTCAAGACAGCGGGCTCTCTGGCACACCTACACAGCTGCACACACAGGCGCACACACAGCTGCACACACAGCTGCACACACAGGCGCACACACAGCTGCACACACAGCTGCACACACAGGCGCACACACAGGAGATTTTTTTCATCCACTGTTCACCACAGTTTACACTTTTGTCTTCATGAAGTGATAAATGTGATGCTCAACTAAATGTTAAAGAAAAGTACTGTATTGTTTTAAGACTAATAAAAGTCAAATTGAAGGATCTGCAAATTCATTTACACCAAAGACACTTATTTCTATGTGTTGGTTTTAGATTTGTTGTTGACTAATCTCTTCTTTTGTCAACAACAAATCTATATTTGTCAGCTCTTATGGTCCCAGCTGGATTCGTCTGCATATCTGGCAACCTGAGTCAGGGACAGTGGGAGAGGCCGCAGTACCACCTTTGGCCACATGTTTACAGACTGCTCCTTTAAAGCCTAGCGTACATCGGACTGGCAACTGATTATATCCGTCGCATATGAGTTTCTGCCCCGCACACATCGACAATCTGACGAAAACGGGCAACTCCCAGTCGCAGACCAGTCTCGGGAATAACAGCGCGTACATCGACAGCAACTGGCCTCAACTACAGTGTGTTTTCTGACATAAACTGTTGCGGGCGCAATACACACAATACACACACGTTGTCGGAGCGGCGCATGGAGCGCGCACATCGGGTCATATCTCCGAAACTGAGGACAACTAGTTGCCGAAAAGTAGAACACGGGCAACTGACTGAAACTGGAGACCGACTGATCATCTCCAGTTGTAAGAGCGCGCACATCGACCAATTTCGGCAACTGATCATCTCCATCATCTCCTCTCAGTCGCCAAAAGCCGCCTTCAACTAGTTGTCCCCAGTTTCTCTGTCGATGTACGCTAGGCTTAAGGAAAATGAAACGTTAACAACAATAGGCAAAAAAGTCAAACTTGTGTAAAAACGACCCAAAAAGAAGGTCCTTTCTGTCCTCGCACACGTGACGTCCTCGCACACGTGACGCCCTCGCACACGTGACGCCCTCGCACACGTGACGCCCTCGCACACATGACATCCTTGCACTCATGACGTCCTCGCACACGTGACATCCTCGCACACGTGACGTCCTCGCACACGTGACGCCCTCGCACACATGACGTCCTCGCACACGTGACGCCCTCGCACACATGACGCCCTTGCACTCATGACGTCTTCGCACAGGTGACGTCCTCGCACACGTGACGCCCTCGCACACATGACGCCCTCGCACACATGACGCCCTCGCACACATGATGCCCTCGCACACATGACGCCCTCGCACACATGACGTCCTCGCACACGTGACGTCCTCGCACACGTGACGTCCTCGCACACGTGACGTCCTCGCACACGTGACGCCCTCGCACACATGACGCCCTTGCACTCATGACGTCTTCGCACACGTGACGTCCTCGCACACGTGACGCCCTCGCACACATGACGCCCTTGCACACATGATGTCCTCGCACACGTGACGTCCTCGCACACGTGACGTCCTCGCACACGTGACTTCCTTGCACACGACGTCCTCGCACACATGGCGTCCTCGCACACATGACGCCCTCGCACACGTGACGCCCTCGCACACTTGACGCCCTCGCACACATGACGTCCTCGCACACGTGACGCCCTCGCACACATGACGTCCTCGCACACGTGACGCCCTCGCACACGTGACGCCCTCGCACACGTGACGTCCTCGCACACATGACGTCCTCGCACACGTGATGTCCTCGCACTCATGACGTCCTCGCTCTCATGACGCCCTCGCACACCTGACGTCCTCGCACACGTGACGCCCTCGCACACGTGACGCCCTCGCACACGTGACGTCCTCGCACACGTGACGTCCTCGCACACGTGACGTCCTCGCACACGTGACGCCGTGTGTTCACTTGCTCAGTTGTGTGTTTACTTCTCAAATCAAATGTCTCTAGAAAACAATCACTTTCCAATTTACGGAGCAGCTTGGAAGTGTGTATTCATTCTCCTCGTGTCATTATCCGAGGCTCCCGTGGCTCCGAGTCCGGGCCGGGGCCTCGCTGTTGGAAATACTACTTTATTTTCACACAGGACTCAATTTCCCATTTTCTAAACCGTTATTGCAGTTTAAAGCCGAAGCCGCTCAGATCGTGCCGGCCTAAATCTGCGACGCCGTTAATCCACTCCGGTGTCATGTCCAGCCCCAGTGTGGCCACAAATCTCTGACAAATACAGCCCCGCGGTGAGGGTTGGAGATTAGAAAAAAGATTCATAATAATAATTCATAAATGATTTACCAATTCAAAGGACTGGTGCTCTGTGGACTGGGCTCTGCAGCTCTGACTGCCACCCCCCAATCCAGAAATGGATTAAGGGGAAGAAAATGAATGAATGAATGGATATATTATTGTTTTTTCTTCTGCATTCAACAGATGTAAACATTTATGTAATTATTATGCCTCTACTTCATGAATACTTTCATCTTAACCACAACCTCACATTGGGCTCTTAAGAGCACAGGGACTGGCCTCCTGCTGGGACTCTGAGGAGCACAGGGACAGGCCTCCTGCTGGGAATCTGAGGAGCACAGGGACTGGACTCCTGCTGGGACTCTGAGGAGCACAGGGACTGGCCTCCTGCTGGGACTCTGAGGAGCACAGGGACTGGCCTCTTGCTGGGACTCTGAGGAGCACAGGGACTGGCCTCCTGCTGGGACTCTGAGGAGCACAGGGACTGGACTCCTGCTGGGACTCTGAGGAGCACAGGGACTGGCCTCCTGCTGGGACTCAGAGGAGCACAGGTATGGCGCCAGATTTACGCCAAAAGTCCACACGCTCAAATAACACATACACGCGCAGCTTTATTTAATTCACACGCGCGCAAACTACTCTCCACGCGCACATTTCACACCACACGCGCGCAGACTCAGTACCACGAGCAACAATACGCGCGTGTGTGCGCTCGTGACCTGCCCTCTTCCTTCTCGTGGTCTGTGTTCTGCGCGCGTTGAACACTTTTGCCATCTCTTCTACGCGCGCGTGAAATACTTTTGTCGCTTGGGGGCGGGGCCAGTGAAAGGTAAACACTGGGTTTCTGGGCCACGTCACAGGCAAGTTGTATGTGCATAGCTGAGTGGCTAAAGAAGGAAGAACACTGGAGCAGACTTTGTGTTTGTGTCCTACATTATCTAATAATCAAAAAGTCCAATCCATAAGTAATCACTAGGTTACATGATGTCGCTAGATGTAGTTATCATGATCAGTCAAGTTAAAGCAAGCTCAAACAGCTAAAATGCTAACCGGAGTTAGCATTTTAGCTGTTTTGCTAAGTTAGCTAAGGAGGCTCCTTCGTTTTAGTCTGAGGAGAAACAGCTGTTCATGATTTAGCCTGTGTAGCCTTCTAGTCACAACAAAAGCACATAAATACTTTAGTGCTAAAGTATTCAGCTCTAAAACCACAAAGTGTGTGGTGTTTTTCCTTGATTACAACAACTGGAGAACAAAAGTGATCAACCTGTATACCACTAAAAAGGCAATAATAACTAAGCTAATGTTGCTTTTTTCCTTTATCAGGAGAACCATAGTCTGTGCCTTGCATCTGTGGAGAGGACTGCTGAGCTGAATGCATGGAGAGACGTGATGTGGATTTATGTTTTCTTTTATTTTGTGCATAACTACTAGTAAAAGTCATCCAGTGATCCTCCTTGTGTCGTGGTCCTTCTTCAGACAGCGCAGAACATGGAACACAACGCAGATTACACTAATAAAGGGGTTAACAGGTGTGCACCAGGTCAAGACTGTAATTGAACAATAAAAACAAGTTACAACGGTGCCCACACCCGTTACAAGTCCATTTCCTGCCATACAAGAACAGTTTGGGGTAAGGATGTACCCCAAGTCTTTGTGGCCATAGTTACTCCCAAGCATCATAAGGCTTTGACTTAATGCCCACTCTCTGACTGGGGAGCACATCTGCCTCAAAACACGGAACTCAGTACCAGAGTCAAAGTATTTCACATTCTTTACATAACACATAATTGTCTGCATCGATAGATTTATATGATTTAGGTTCTCTTTTGTATAGACACTGGGGGCCTGAGTGAGGTAATTATAGATATTAGGCCAGGTAACTGATGGCCATTTTCTCCTATCTACAACCCACTGTTCTGTGAGAATAGTATTATTATTACATGTTTATTTGACAGGCACAGAACAAAAAGTATTGTTACAGGTAACCAATGCCATGTTCATAGGCCGTATAGCAAACAGATAATTGGCAGTCGCTAAGGCATAAAAATATTAGAGATTTCAGTTCAGCAGGTAAAATGTTCCAGAGCTGTGGCTCTTCGACTGCAAACGAAGTCTGACCAAATGATGTTTTACATCTTGCCGGTCTGCAGTGTGTGTGGATCAGGAACTGGTGCCCATCGCAGAGGACCATGAAGATAACCTGCACCATCAGAACTATTCAGGGGTTCTGTGTAGTGTGTAGAGATGATAGCCATCCTAAACTAGCAAACACAATACAGGTACAGAAGCCAATTATGACAGGTTGAAACAGCTTAGCCCCAATTTTAAGTTCATTTTAATAAAAATACATGAAATCAAATGAAGTTTACTACTATTTAGCAATGTTAACAATTCAGATAGCTCATTTGTTTCAAAACTTTGTATACACATTTTTGATATTTGGGTTTATGGACTGACAGATTTATTGCTAGTTAGCATAGACTCATTAGGTCAACCCCCTATAATTATGCAAATAAAAAGCAAACAAATAACTCAGAGACAGTTTTATTAAACTTTGATAACGGTCCTGACATGATTCTGACAAAGCATTCAGTGTAAACAACGTACAGCGATCACAAAGGTCCCGGGATGTACCTGGCTAGCCTTGCGGCAACATAGGCTGATGAGAGAGAATATTAAACATTTACGAACTAAACATGTCCTGGTGTAAGCCTATAGGGTGTCCACAACAGTGTACATACCACGTTAAAGACTACAATAGCCAGCCCAGTTAGGGTTATAAAAAAGATATACAGTCTATGGATTAATCATATGCTTTCCATGCATAAGCATTTCATCTCCAAGCTGCAGTGGGCTGTTTACCTTTCACTGGCCCCGCCCCCAAGCTGCAGTGGGCTGTTTACCTTTCACTGGCCCCGCCCCCAAGCGACAAAAGTATTTCACGCGCGCGTAGAAGAGATGGCAAAAGTGTTCAACGCGCGCAGAACAAAGACCACGAGAAGGAAGAGGGCAGGTCACGAGCGCACACACGCGCGTATTGTGGCTCGTGGTACTGAGTCTGCGCGCGTGTGGTGTGAAATGTGCGCGTGGAGAGTAGTTTGCGCGCGTGTGAATTAAATAAAGCTGCGCGTGTATGTGTTATTTGAGCGTGTGGACTTTTGGCGTAAATCTGGCGCCATACACAGGGACTGGCCTCCTGCTGGGACTCTGAGGAGCACAGGGACTGGCCTCCTGCTGGGACTCTGAGGAGCACAGGGACTGGCCTCTTGCTGGGACTCTGAGGAGCACAGGGACTGGCCTCTTGCTGGGACTCTGAGGAGCACAGGGACTGGCCTCTTGCTGGTCCCAGAGTCATAACTAAACATGAGGAGGCTGACAGTATTTAATCTGTCAGAAAAAAATCCAGGTTAAAAACAGTTTGGTTTCAGCTACAATTTTTGCTTAATGCGCTTATTCATGATTTTAATGACTTCATATTCATACATTCATAATCAGTAACTCTTGATGTAAAAATCATGCAAATCTGTATTTCTGTATCATCATCACGAACACCAACAGACTCCATTGTTTGTCTCTTTCCTTAAGAAGATTCCCTCCTTTTCATGATTATGAGATATTCTTTCTCCTTTTCATTTGGAGACTATATTATATCTAATCCCCTGAGCTTGATTTAATTTTGCTTGTTGCTGATCTCGGGCCGTTCTGTCAATCTCCTTCTGGAAGCAGCACCGACTCTCAAGATGACAGCAGTAATCCGCAATCTGCCTTTCTGAAGGGGAGGGGCCACACAGATATGTATCTCAGAGTCTGTAAGCGGGTCAGCACCATGGACAGCGACGTATCCAGGCAATAGTTGGTTCTGCAAAGGGCGAATACACTGCTTTGGGTCTTGGTCTGTGTGATGCGCTATATAAATAAACATGACTGACTTACAAATGTCTGTGTTTTTTTAGCTGTTGCAGTGGTTTGTAAAGAACCAAGACCTGAATTCAACTCTTTACAACTTTATTCTTGAATCGTCCTAAATCACACAAAAAACATTTAAATTTCCAACACAGATCAGAGAATCAAACACAGAGAGACCACATCACAGTCCTTTTAGTTTGACACAAACTGTAACAGACTCCTACATCAGAGGAAAAACTCTAAAACCCAGGACTCAGACTGTAGAACGAGGACTGAGGCTGTAGATCCAGGACTCAGACTGTAGAACGAGGACTGAGGCTGTAGATCCAGGACTCAGACTGTAGAACGAGGACTGAGGCTGTAGATCCAGGACTCAGACTGTAGAACGAGGACTGAGGCTGTAGATCCAGGACTCAGACTGTAGAACGAGGACTGAGGCTGTAGATCCAGGACTCAGACTGTAGAACGAGGACTGAGGCTGTAGATCCAGGACTCAGACTGTAGAACGAGGACTGAGGCTGTAGATCCAGGACTCAGACTGTAGAACGAGGACTGAGGCTGTAGATCCTGGACTCAGACTGTAGAACGAGGACTGAGGCTGTAGAT